AATTTGGTGGTTGCTAATGGAGGTTTGCTTTGTGGTGATTGTGGTCCCATTTGTTTTGCTGGTTTTTAAGAAAAGAAAAATGTCCCCCCTTTCCTAGACCATAAAACCTGTGACTTGGTGTCCTGGTGACCTGCCAGGACTCATTTAAATAGCGACAACGGTAACTGTAAAAGGAAATAGAAAGCAAGAACCCCCCTAGAGAGATGGGCTAATCTCCAGATAATTGAGAAATGACTCGATGCTGAAGAAAGTATATGCTGCTAATTTGCTGGACCCCCGTCTATGAAGCATGGTCATGCTTATCTTTTTCGCTCATTTTCAGCTCCTGTCACATAGTATTTATGTGAAACATTCCCTACTATTTTCCTACCCCCAATGTCTATGTTATTATCATCCATCCCTCTCACGCGGCTTGGTGGGTTACGCTGACATGCTTGAGGGAAGTGGAATGGGATTTTCAATCACATCAACTGCTTACGTTCGCTTTTTTCTGGAAAAGAACTAGCTCCGGACTGAGACTCTAGCTCCTGGATCTGAGTTACCTCTGTCGGAGCAACTTGGGGGCAGCAAAATACTGGCAGACTCACCGAGGGGATGTGCTGCCTAGACTCTGTTTCTGGAGAGAAAAGGGTGAGCAGATTTCCTGCTCGGTCTAGGGATAAACTTCACAGAAGGGCCTTCATGGGATTTCAGGAAGGAGGCAGGTGTGATTTCATAAAATACTAATATCAAAGAAGGGATAGCCTTGCCTGTGTGGCTCAGTGGTTGAACATTCACCTATGAACCAGGAGGTTATGGTTTGATTCCAACCAGGGCACATGCCCGGTTGCGGGCTCGATCCCCAGGTGTGCGGCGTGCAGGAGGCAGCCCATCAATGATTCACTCACATCACTGATGTCACTCTCTCACTCTCTTTCTCTCCCTCTCTAAAAATAATAAAAGTATTTTTTTTTTATATATAATGAAGGGTAATAGTTCTAAATACAAAGAGGTCTGTTGTTTGTAGATGTGGGAGGAAATGGGAGCGCTAAAGAGAGCAAAAACTCACGGTGAGCTGAGCAGCCAGAAAAGGGAGCAGAGATGGGAATCCAGAACCTAGAACAGCCCTACAGACTCGTCCGTGAGACCAGGAGATCCCGACGATCCCTGTTGTCCCTGTACTAGTAGGTCCTTAGATGTCTGAAACCCCAAAGGGTTCTCTATGCCCTGCTAGTGGCGACTGTGTGAATAAACCAACAGAGAACTGTAATCATGAACTGTCTCTGTCGCCAATAACCACAGCAAACCCACCAAACAGTGAACTGAACAGTTCCCTCGCCCCTTCGGGATTCCTACCCTCTGAAGTCTGTAAACAGTGGCCACGCTGCCTCTGTACCGTCCTCTGATCAGCTGCACAGGATTTAGTCTTCCATCTTCAAGACCTTGCTCCAGCTGGTTAATCATTCCCCTGGCTTCCTGTGACCCCAGCCAATTGGTTCCTTTCTGGAAAAGCTGGCACCGCATTCCTCTAGCAGCAGACTGGAGGCTGTATTTACAGTAAATATTTACCAAGGGCTAGCTGGGTGCTTGGCCCTGCCTTAGGCCCAGGAAAGGGCCTCGCTGCCACTGATGGATGCAGGTACAGCCATGGCACCCAGGCGGCCAGGTTCTCCCCATCTCAGATTCTCACGGTGAATTGATCTCTTTCTTGACAGTGGAAAACAGAACCCCAACACAAGAATATAGCATGAAGAATTAAAAGCAGATATTCATTCTCTTACCCGTCAGGAGTTTTCTCTCCAAATAAATTTTTATTTTTTATTTTTTTGTAATCCTCACCCTAAGATATTTTTCTGTTGATTTTTTAGGGAGAATAGAAGAGGGAAAGACAGAGAGAAATATTGATGTGAGAGAAACACATCAGGTGGTTGCCTCCTGCACTTGCCCCGACCAGGGTCTGAAGCCCAGGTATGTGCCCTTGGTCGGAATCGAGCCCAGTACCCTTCAGTCCCAGGCCAACGCTCTACCCACTGAGCCAAACTGGGTAGGGCCCAAATAATTTTTACTAGAATAAAATCGACAATGATATTATCTTCATCTTAAGGAGTTTTCACAGGCTTCCTGTATATAATCTTCAAGTGTTTTCAACAAATGTTCTATGATGCTGAACATTCCAGAAGCAAGTTCCCAAATTACGTTGGCCCTACAGCCCTGCTTCTAGGGAGAAGTGGCCTGGGAAAGAAAACATTTTCTGTATTTGTCTGACTCAGTTTCCTCAGTGTGACTGAGAATAGACTGCACAGGGACAGGTTTGAGCCAATACAACTTTATTTAATCAACGTGGAGTACAGGTATCAACAACCCACCAATACAGAAAGTACCCCTTTGTTCATTCCCTCCCCATCCACTTCAGAAAAATAGCTCTAAGCTCTTTCATGGTAATCCAACATTATTCACATCTACAAAATGGTGTCCACCACCATTTGGATTTTGCTCCTAT